ATGTATGCCGTTTTCTCATCGAACTGCAGTCGATTCAGGCATATTTTTGCTGTTTTCCCGTAGAATTTAGTGATTTTGACTCTTTCTCTCTCATTGATTAGGCCTCTTTCGGGGCCTTTCATAAATCGACTGCAGTTCGATGAGAAAACGGCATACATAGCTGAAAGACATCTTATTTTGCTCAGAATTCGTTGCTCTAGAAGGCTGTATGGTTTACATTTTCTTCTAAATGAAAAATCAAATACTTGGTTTTATAGCCTCTAGGTTTTCTAGAAACCCTATTATTAATTTTTCTTATAAAATCTCGATATGCATCTCATCTAATAAAAAGATCTTGGGACTATTTAAATCAGTATTCAGATTTGTTTCAACTATTACTCGGAAAGAGAAAAATCAAAAACAAAGGGGGTCCTATAATTATGCCCCACCCTGTATTTATGGTATTTTTATGTAGAACAAGTGTGTATCATCTATGAAGTGATATAATGGTCAATAACAATAAGACTAACGCAACTGAAGAGGTCTGATAGTTTTAATCTGCTATTACTTATTGCTGGATAATACGCACAGACACACGCATATTTACTGTTCAATAACACGAGATAAACAAAATGTCAATTTTTGTTATTTGAATAATTCTCTCTCGTGCACAATTCAGTAAACAAAACATGGCAGCGATTCACAAATTTAATCCGATAAAAGTGTTACATCAACAACAGCGTCAAACCGATGACCTTGGACCATCTATGCCGACTATATCCACATTATTGCCGGTTCCAAATGATCATATAGCTTCCAAACTTTTGACGAGCGATACACTATCAAGAATAGAAAAATTTGATATGGATGTCAGTAGCGAAGATCAAGGATGTTGTAAAGATTACAATAACTTCTGTTGTATATTATTAGCCAAATGGTGGAATATACGTTTCGAGTAGGTGTTTTTTAACCAATTCCTTGAATAATTTGTATGCATTTTATGAATATTTCAGTCATCAACGTTGCATAGTTCATTTCGTTGAACAAACTCGTTTTCAAATAATCATCATAATACTCGTATTAATCGATTGTATACTCGTTGTTAGTGAGTTACTTTTAGATTTTATTAAATTGAAGAAAACATGTAAAATCGATTATAAAAAAGATCAAAGTGATGTACAAATGCATTTAGCAATTGAAATACTTCATTATACGTCGGTGGCACTATTATGTTTGTTTGTTATTGAAGTACTGATTAAAGTTTATGCATTCGGAAGAAAATGGTGGAATTTCCATGAGAGAAAGATGGAATACTTAGACGCTGCTATTGTATTTGTATCGCTAACAATCGATATCTATTTCATTAACCAAAACGAAGGCATTGCCGATATATCGTTACTCATTATATCGTTTCGATTATGGAGAATTATTAGAATAATTAACAGTAAGTTCAGGAGGTTGATTTTTATCTCTCAAACCTTTTCGTACTAACACATTGCACTATTTGATACTTAATCTTGTCTTCAGGTGTAGCACAATCGATTCGTTCAAGTGATGAAAATTCTAAAAAACATTTAGCCGAAACGTACCTTCAAGTTGCAGAACTTCTATTGTCTGTTTCGTTTAAAAAAACAAACGTGATTCAAGAAATTCATAATGATAAAACAGAATATAATATTGAAGAAATATTGGAAAAATTTCGTCAAATAGATATTTTATGTCAACATTGTTTTACACATTGTCCACGTCTATCTTCCCAACACGTAGTCACTGAAGTTGCGCACAATTTACAAGAGGCTATTGAACAAGTCAAATATTCTCAATCTGGTTTGAGTATAAAAAATACAGGAAAAAGCTCCTAAAATTATCATGTCTTGTAATTTTATTGCATGTTTTCTAAATTTTGTTTCAAAAGAGTGGTAATTGTTCGTTTTTGAATAGTTTTATTTTGTAATGTTTTGTGCAGTACGCATATCTAATGATAATCTCAATTCAGTAAAAGAATATTTCATTCTGCCAACTAGTTACATCGACTTACCTCTGTTTCTACTTGACACATCTCTACTACGAAAAGTATTGTCTCACTACCCATGTAAATATTTTCGAGTCGGAAACGCGTCTAAAAATGCGTTTTTTTCTGCGTTTAATCGCTGCAAATATGCACCATTTGACGCTATCTAGACGCGTCTGATGTTGACGCGTTTGACCGCGTTTTATCTAGACGCGCCTAAATACGTTTTTTTAAAATTAATTGTTTTGTGCAAAAAGGTTTGTTTTTGTTCAACTAAAATTCCTGACTGAATAAGACGCGTCTGGACGCATCTTTCTAGAGAGTAAGAAAAGAGACGCGACAGTAATAGCTTGGTGAAGCTGTGCGTTCAAACGTGTTTCTCGGGGGAAAAGATAAATAAACGCGTCGAGACGCGTTTAAAAAAGTGCACCTTAACGCGTCTGATGTTTTTCCTATAAAATAAGCGCTCTAACGCGTCAAATGTGGCTGCGTTTAAACGCGTTTCGTTTCAGAAAGGACCCGACTTTCACACGAAACACTTTCAGACGCGTTTAAACGCGTCGCACGCAAACACGCCTGGACGCGTCTGAAGACTGTTTATCGAAAAAAACACGCCTGAACGCGTCTGAAGACTGTTTATCGAAAAAAACACGCCTGAACGCGTCTTTTCGAAATGAAACGCGTTCCTTCAGACCCTCACCAAATAATAAGAAAAAACTCGCAAAATTAGCAGAAAACGTAACAAAACTGGTAGGAATTCGTAATGGGATTCTGGACTATGAACAGCTGTATAAAAGTTTATGAGTACTACTTTACTCTAATTTCTATTTCCAATACTGACATCTGGGAGTTGTTGTTGGTAATCCATAAAGGTGATTGTACAAAGGAACTGTGCGTTCTGTTGTGAGTGTAACTGTTTAAACGGATCGAGAAACAAGTTTATGGCAGATACATTCAGTTGTTAAGCATATTTATATATTTTTCATTTTCTTCCTCAACATCTTTCGTCCAATCTTTAACCACACTGTATTTCCTGTCATATTAAGGATTGAAGAGGAAGAAGATGGCATTCATTCGGTGAAAATCAGGCATCTGGAAAATTTTGTAATGGCTAATAAGTACTGCTCCTGTATAGTGATTTAATTTCGTCCTTGTTTCCAAAATAATAGGAAATTTTAAAAAGGCTACTTGTCAACTTTAAATATGTGCAAACCCCAGTGCTCTAGTGAATATACTTGCACAAGTACCCTCACCAACGTTCAATTTCCAGAATTTTTCACAAATAAATCAATGAGAAATTCGGAACATATCACTGGGAAAAAACAAAAAAAGGTGGTTTTTTAGTTGCTGAAAAGTACTTTTTCGTATCCAGTACATCCGATAACCCCGAAGATTTTCTATTTTAGACGAGCGTTACTTCCAAAAATTTAGGAAAAAGTTTGAAACGAAATGGTGCAAAAACATTTCTATGGGAAAATAATACTAGTTTGAAAATTTTTTCTAAACTTTTGGCGTATCCACTAGGCAATTACATTCGCTAGGGAGCTTCAAAGGTGAGCATCAATTAATTTTCATCTTTTTCATGAGGATAAGATGTTACCTTTCAGCGAAAAAACAGCATTCTGACAGCGCCCTCTACAAGATTTCAATTCCTCGAAATTTGTGGCGTATTGGTAACTTGAAATTTGACAAATCAGATCTCGCTGCAAATTTCGACTAAACTGAAAAAATATATCGTTCACTTTCCCGGTTTGTCAGGAGGAAAAGTGGCTAATTTTCGTTTGCTTAGATAAAAGTCAACCACTTTGATAGATGAAACATGTTACTCAGGTGGATGGCACCTAATCCACTTTTTTTAGTTAAGTTGTACACCCGGTAACATGTTTCATCCATCAAAGTGGTTGACTTTTATCTAAGCAAACGAAAATCAGCCACTTTTCCTCCTGACAAACCGAGAAAGTGACTGATATGATCATGCATTTCGGTTAAGTCGAAATTTACAGTGCTCTCTCCATTCTTTTAAACTCGACAACGCCTGTTGTTTCCTTTATTTGTTTTTGGAGGTAACTTCTCTCTCTCAGCATGGTGAAAAAAGATTAAACTTGTAGGATAGAGAACTTGTCTGTTTAATGACTATTTTTAACGCAAAACAAGTTTAGCATGGTACAGAAATCTTAAAACAACAGAAACAATATTCAGAAAAAGCGCCAGTTTTAGAGAAACAGCATACGCGAACACTTCTGTCCAGAACTGCAGAATCTGTCTGTTTGCTCCGACGATCGTCGGGGAAAACTTATTGATTTAGGAAAATTTTTTGAAAAATTGAAACAACTTTTTGCAAATATACTGTAAAAAGAAATTCTGTTCGTGGATTATGTCAGGGAAGTTTCTGAAAAACTTTTTCTGTCAAGGGAAATTTTCCAATTTCACGGGTAGATTCTGCACTTCTGCTTCTGTCTCTCAAATCTTAAGTAGTTTCACGCTACACCGAGGGATTTAAACCTTGAATGACATCACTAACATAGCTGAGAATATTGAAAAGCCAGAGCTATAGTATTATTAATGGATAATAAGTTAGCAGGGGCCTGTTTCTTAAAAAAACTTAAGTAGAAAATCTTACTTAAGTCATAAAAGACAAAGACTTTTTTGGACTTAAGTTTGACTTAAGTAAGATTTTCTACTTAAGTTTTTTTAAGAAACAGGCCCCAGATCATTGTTGGCAGGCAGGAAAACTTCTTAGTCTTCAGGGCTGATCGATTTCTATATTCAGGCACTAAAGGCAGTGTGATTGGCCCTCTAGAACGTAAGTAGAAGTTAAAATAATTTTTATATATTTTTTAAGAAAAACTCAAATGGCTATTCGTGTACAAATTCATCTTAAATACTTTGTTGATGGAAACAACAAAAAGTTTCATAATTTTTGGTATTATTTTGAGCCAAGACTGTTACCAACAATTGAAGATTTAATACAAGACATTAGATCAAATTATCTCCAACATCAGACCACTCAAACTGATGTTCCACTATCGCTCTACCTCGATAATTGTCTACTACTTCCATTCTCTTCTAGCCAAATATTGCATGACAATGATCAAATTGCGTGAGTTAGCTAAATCTGTTGAGTTGGATAGTTACTCATTTATATTTTCTCATTTTAGTCTCATACCTAACTCGAGTTTTAAACTTTATAAATCGACGATTAGTCAAGGCGTTAAAACCACTGATGAACAAGCAAACATATCAGTTATAAGTGAATCAATACCAAAAATAATAACAGATACTACAGAAGCTCTACCAACTAAACACAATGACTCTTCAAGTGTGAATACTACATCGATATCAAAGGATGTACCTCAATCACTGCCCTCTGAAAAGAAAGAATTGAAACGAAAACTTGATGACTTAGATTTTCCATCGCCTACTGCTACAAGTAACAATTCTCATTCACAAATAATTGTCAATGATCGAAAACTTGATGACTTAGGTTTTCCATCTACTGCCACAAGTAGCAATTCTCATTCACAAATAATTGTCAAAGATCGAAAACTTGATGACTTAGATTGTCCATCGCCCACTGTCACAAGTAACAATTCTCATTCACAATTAATTGTCAATGATCGAAAGAGTAAAACCTGCAAAAAAGATAATCAAACAAATAAATCTATGCTATCTACAAACAAAAGAGAAAGTGTCCACGATCAAATTCAACAACAGCCAACGATTACTGGGCGTATGCGTGAAATAAAATCAACCACACCAGCATGGAAAGTGAAACAAAACAACCAAGTGTCAAACGGCAATAATGGTGAGAACGGGCGTGCATCAGTTACAGTTAACTGTAAAACTGTAATAAAAGAATGTCTCTATTCTTAAAATGTATGCAAATCGTGCAAGACTAATCACTCTAGAAGATTTGCCTACAGTTAGCAGCAGTTTTACAGTTTTACAAGTACATTTAACTGGTGCATACCTAGATGAGAACAGCAAATACTCATGTAATGCTCAAACACAGACAATAATTGTTAGTCATTTCTTTTTAAACACAAATTCACACTGATTATTCTGTTTCACTTAGGAAAATTGCATATTCGATTTGACTCATCGAGCGAAGATGAGGATCAACATGTGTCGATAACCAACCCTCAAAAACAACAACAACAATCACCTTGTTTGCAACCAACTATAAATAACGGCGATACAAAGTTGACCACCAACCTAATCAAAGTCAACGGAGTCGACATCATTCATTTGCTTCCAGAAAATAAGACCTTAAATACTACTAATGGACCACCAGTATGCTCCAAACCGAAGCAAAACGATCTTGTATTTGATCTAAAACAATGTAAGACTCCTACAGAAAAAGTAAACAATGCGAAGCTGCGTTCAAGACAACGCGCACAACATCGAAAACGCATGCTCGATAATTTTTCATTAGCAAAATTTATTGATCATGCATTTGGTGTTGCTGAACAAAACGGCACACAAGATACAAGAGATAAACTCATTGAAAATGGAATAACTGATACGCAAGAACAACCGAAACTTCCCAAGACCTTTAGTAAATTTGCTCGTTTACCTTTGATTGGCGAATCAATTAAATCCAATAATAATATTTATGATTTATATCCACCAATTCAAAAATGTCCACCAGTAAAATCACGGATTGCATTCAAAGTAAGAATATTCTCCTTGTAGAATATTTTCATAAGGTTGTATTTTATTTTCTTCAGTTATTAGAACTTGACGAAAATTTTTCTCCGAAAATGACTGAATTTAAAGTAGGAAATATGTTCACGATCTTTTGGGAATGCATATTAACTCATAGATTTGTTTTAGGAAGGAACAGTTGTTAATTATGATGAAAATTCATGTGAAGTAGTTCTACAACTCGATGAGCCATTGCCGTCAGGTACGTTGTCGTATATTTATCAATAACAGATTTTTGATGAAATTTTATAAAATTGTAGTTTTCGATCAACCATCAAAATTTTACACTCCTGACGAAGATGAAGCGATTTCAATACCAAATTCTACAGTAAGAAAGTTTCAAAGAATATTATGTGTTCAAATTTGAATAATTATTTTATTTTTGAGTTGCAGATCACGCTACCATTTGCAGGATTATATTTGGTTCGATTATTATCGTCCTAACGTTATTGAGTAATATTGTATAGTGATTTTGAATCTAGTCTGAGCTCAGATGAAAAATAACAATGTATCATCTTCCACTCATAATATACTACTTTTTTTACTTGTTTTTCTATTTTTGTGATTTTTGTCTCGGTGAAATAAAATGCAAATGACCACATTAATTATTAGCTTAAATAAATGTAGCTTAAGTGGTATAAACACAAAGTATTCGATTATTTTTCATCACAATTACTTTAGCATTCTCATTGATGTCATAATAAATTTTCAATCACTCATACTAGAATTTTTCGGTATGTAATAGGTGTTAATCGAACGTCTTTATAAGAAAATCAACAAAGGATAATCACAATGTAAAAAAGAAACACATTGATCTGCAACAAATCTACTTAATGTGCACAATGGTATAGATGTGTCGATAATGACTGTCAACAGGATAGATAACGAACGCGTACAATATTATTAATATTTTTGTCGAAAAAATACTTTCCAGTGAACAAAAATTTTTCATATTTTCCTTTTACCTTATTTTTGATGTAATAATCTTTCTGTTTTACAAAATTATAGATAACAATCAATGAAGATCGTCATTAATTTCCGTCAGATGACTATCAAATCTTTGTTGTTTTTGACATAAAAAATTAAGGAGTAATTCACTTCCACTTCTAAATACAATCACAAATCAGTATGAATCACTGATTTGACATAAAAAATTATTAAGCACGATCACAAGATTAATTTTAAGTCTTCAGCTATTGTCATTATAGTGTTTTTTCAAAATAGAAATGATTATTTTCCTTGCTTGCTTTCTTCCTTTTACAACGGTTATTTAAATAATCTAAATTCTGAACACATTAATATCTAATCAAAATATCGAGATAGATCGTACTGTTAATAGTAATTCTTATGGAAGAAAGACAATGGTTTAGAGTCGAAGAAAACTTAGTTATGAATAATTAGCATGCTCTTTAACATCAAATTCGACAATCAATGATTGATCAATATTAGAATCGACTTTGTGGATGAAAATTTCTAAGCAGAAGATCTATGTATGCTAATATATACATTTAGCACAAGACTTAAGATTATGAAAATATACATTCATTTTCTTTTGACTTCACGATGCAGTCGTTTTTCAAAGAAGTATAGTTATACTATTCAAAATAGAAGTACCAAATAGTAAACTCAGATAAACATATAACGAATTTTCAATTCGAAATTCGCTATAATAGGCATTTTATTTTTCTTATATCTCAATACGGCATATTAACAAAGGTGATTTTTAACTGTGTGTGAATGTGTACCACGCGAGTTATGTATGCTATCTATTCATCTTCTATTTAGAATGATAAAGAGGAATAATGTCGCATATGAAACAAAAGATCAGTCCAGTTGTTGAAAAAAGAAAGTTGCTAGAATAGTAGACAATAAATAAAATTTTCAGCACATAACAGAAAAGCAAAGATTCTGTTTTTGACAGTACACGTTTTTATACAGTAAGTAAATATTTGAATTTAGCTTAGATCATCGAAGAGTTTTATTCTTTGAACAATTGTTGTTTATAGTGTAACAGAGACGTATTGAAAATCTAGTTTTTCGCAGAGATAGGATGCAATTAAAGTTTTACTCCATTTTGTAGTCAGAAAATAAAAGTTTACGAAAATTTTTGATGATGAAAAACATTCTTTTTTTAAGCTATTTGAGGGTGGATTGGCCAGTATTAACGGCTCTGTACATTGGATGTTTTACACACTATGTACTTTTTTTGTTATCAAAGAACACTTTGAAAAAAGTAGCACGTTAAATACTTTGGAATACACTAACCTGAAGAAGCCTCTCGAGAAAAGTTGGTTCTGTATACGGTATATAACAGACAAAACTAAACTGTAATACCCAAAGAGGAAAGAAAAGTTATTTATCTCACCCGTCCTGTAAAGTGCGAAAGTTTTACCATATTGAACTATTAGTTTTCTGAATGGCAGATACTTCGTGAAAACAGTTGTTAAAACTAATAAATCTGTTTTTACGTATGTGTACTTAATTTCTATCTTATTCTAGTATCTACAGGTTTTTAATTTTAGTTATCTATCCACAAACCCAGACAGATGTTCATCAAAGTCCTATTGCTGAATTTTTCTGTTAGTCTTTTTCTAATAATTCCAACAACATGGAGTTATACAGAAAATGGTTGGCTAACATCTTATGTTACTGGAATGATTTTGAAAAATCTGGAATCTTATCAGAAAATTGCTGAACATACATCATTGCCCGAATATTATATGTCAATTGCTGAACATTCACCCATAGGCTGTAATGTTGGTCAATTACCTCGAGCACAAGATGATGAAAATATCGATTATAGAATTATATATGGCAATGAACATGAAATGTTTGATATTGATAATGGAACAAATATTTTACGATTTATTGATGGAGAATTGGATCGAGACAAGCGTGAACACTATAAATTGATAATTCACGTATGTTAAATTTAGAAGATGATTTATTTTATAACGTAATTTGATAGATTTCTTTTGTATTTTCAGGCAAAAAATACCGAACGTCCAGATTGGACTGGGGCTAATGACCTTTTTAAAGTGATTGTTATGGTAACTGATATTGAAGAGCAAGAGCCAGTTTTTGATATTGAAGAATATGTTACTGTTGTACCACGAAATAGTGAAATTGGTGAACCATTTCTTCGATTAAATTCGAGAGACAATGGTATTGATGAAGAATATCGGCATGAATACATCATTGATTCTATTGAACGTATCCAACCGTCCGATTTTTCATCGTCTCCGATCAAAACATCTTGTTGTTTTGACATAACAAATGATGGTCGTTTAATCGTCACTGAACATCTTCAATGGCTACCACATGGAACAATATTTTTACTGAACGTTGTTGCTTTACCACGTAACGAAATGCAAACACCAGCTCGTACGAAAGTCTTTGTTTATCTTGCTGAAATAAATGATCAAATTTATGTTAATATTCGCTTACCACAGTCAAAATTAGAAAATGATTTAGAACAACAGTCATCTACAGAAAATCTTTGGACACGAGTAGAAGATACAACAAATACAACCATTATTGTTAATAATTTATTACCTTATTATGATCATGATAATGGACGAATGGATCATGATCAAACAAGAGCGAACATCTATATGATCGATCGTCGAACAAATATGTTATTAGATAATTTACAAGCACATAATTTGTTAATAAAATATAGAGATGATTTACCTTATTTTTATCCAATAACAGAAGAAGAAACACAGCATCTATTGATACAAGAGCTACCAAAAACTACGACGACATCATCGCATTGGTTTTCTTTTACTTTAATTATTTTATCAATACTTACTGGTCTATGTTTCATTTTCATCTTACTCTGGCATTGTTGTCTACGACCTGGTACACATTGTAAATAGTATGTTAGCAATCATCAAATCTGTGCAATAAGTAACATTATGTTGATGATTTGTTTCAGTATCTCATCAAAACCACGACTATTTGGATTTGAAAAATTGACAGAAAATTCGAGTCCACTATTTGATAATACTCATAAAGTGCCAATTCCAGAATCACCACCATTCCCAGTTTCAAACCGAGCAAAAAAGTCACTACGAACATTACCATCACTTATAGCCAATGCATTATCATCAACACGTGAAGAAACTGAACCGTTACTTAGGTAGGACATGACTAATTAAAACGTTATCACTACATATTCACTATTTATGGTACCTTTAGTGACGTTTCAACTGATCTTCTTACAGAACACAAATTGGTCAACGAGCAAACTATTCCAAGACAATCGAAGACACATGTACACTATCCACTTAACTGGAAATAATTTTGTTATTTTATACTTTTCTGTTGTAGGACGGAACAATGTCGACAACGCGTCCTACAGGAGATGAAGGTGTTGTTGAAAATGGACAAAACAAAGAAAATGAAGCAAAAGATATATTCATACACGAGAATTGATCTGGTGAGGGTGAGCACAAAGTGTTTCGAAAGCAGTGATTTTTTATGTCAAATTTATTGTTGTTTCGTGTTTTTACTTGTTTTTGAGCGATTTGTATTATGATGTTTTACAAAATATATCGTGTTTGTTTTATATTAATTCCTTACTATAATAGGTGGTTCCTTTAATTCAATTTTTCTGACCACTTTCATACTAGAATGCTCCTCATCTTCGACGGGAAAGTAAGCTCATTGTTCCGCAAGTTACCAGTGCCCTATTTGCTTGAAAGGTATCTTCTGCTCAACTGTTCGTCATGATCATTCGGCAAAGCTTTTTTCTTGCATTTTTATTTGCAAAAATATCCGGTTTTATTCAACAAGTAGAAAACAAATACACTCAACAAAAACAATGAATAGTTATAATGTAACAAAAATCAAGTGTTAGAGTGACACATTCGTCATCGTTACTATTTTCGTTTCGTCGTTTAATTTGATTGTACCACTATCAGAACAAGATGCCAAAAGACCACCTTGTTTTGGATGAAATGCAATGCAATTGACATCTTCAGTGTGAACTTGTTTGTTCTCTTAGAATAGATTAAAACTTGGCATGTTTTGCGTGGTATCGACACTATTTTATACTTCTTCAAATATACCTATGGCATTATCACCATATAACATGGCTATCAGACCAGTTAAATGATACCGAGAAAGAGACAGTAGAGTAACATTTATATCTCAGACAGAAATGTATACCATTTTACAGCATAGATTGGATGTGTATGATAACCGTTAATGGTACATATGCATTTCCATACCGGATATTTCTGTTTGGTGATTCGAATGCCTATAAATTGAATATTTTCACATAAAAGCCAACTAATTTCATTACAAATACCTTCTTGATTGTCTTTATCATATGACTGCCAAATAACATCAGAATAGAGAATGGATCACCACAAAGGGATCAGTGCTTAGCTCATCACTGTACATATTGATTCATGTCAAAATGTCTACTTTATTTCATCCATTTGAACATCATTTATTTGAGGATGATTTAAATATTATTTTGACTCCACCATTACATTTAAAATATAATGAAATGATTATTTAGTTACAGGAAAAAGGTCCGCATATTCTTCATAAATTAACACTTTATTGACAACTATCTCAACAGTCGGTGAATGTAAAAAAGTCAGAATTTATGCTGTTTTCACTCAGTTTCGTTGACCAACAATTACTCTTAAGTCAGGAGATGAAATACTAAAACAGGTAAAACACACTACAAATATCAAGGTTATATTTTCACGGACAAACTTTGCTGGGAAAAGATGGTAACTCACAGCACAATCAATAACTGGCTCGTCTCAGAAAATTAATTGAATTACCTAGTTTTTCTATTAATTTACATCGTCGTTTCTTCTATGCTTTCATTTATCCTCATTTCTCTCGGATATTCACCATTTATTTTTATTTTCCATACACATTGCAAGAACAGGTGGCTAGAAAGTTCAATTATGCTTTTAAAATCTTTTATGGATTAACCTTATTTTTGTCATATACATTATTGGCTTTGACAAAAGAACTGAATTTCCTTGAACAACTAGATAGGCATTGGACGAAATTATTTTACTCTCTTCTTTCGCTTCCATCAACAATATGGTAAAATTATAGTGCACAAGGAATCGTAATGAATAATATAACAGCGGTTGAGGACCTAAATCATTTAGAAGGAAAAAACAGAGGGAAAATATTGTGTCTGTAATCGATCTCTGGACTGAATTTAAAGAAGTAGTCGGTACTGAGAAGCACTGCAATGACATAGACAGATGTATAGACATACTCTATAGAGTATATACTAAATAATCCTATTCCACTAATCTAACCTCTACAAAAAAGAATTATTTTACAGGTACTACTATTTTCACTTTCTATGCATTTATATATTAGTTATACTTAATTTCAAATACATTAGCACTTAATAGCAGATATGTAATAAATTGCTCATCCTTAACAAAATTGTATGCAGCATCGGTTTTCCAATTGTTCTTCGTTGTTGTGGAGGAAATAATTCTTGTTTAAGAAGAGTAGAAAAAATACAAAATTCTGCTCGTATTTCTCAAATTTTAATCTACATACAGAAAAGAATAACTTTAATTTGCAAACTTTATTGTTACAAAATACACAGGTAATACAAACAAGTTAAAATTAAGAGGATTGTAATAAAAATCTTTTAAAAAAACTTGTACTAATCTATAAAAATAGTTTTACGAAAACTATTTTCTGAGATTAAAAAACCCCTTTAAAGCTAAATTTTACCATTTAGTAAACAAGAAAAATGAAGCAAGGCAAATAGCAAATTAAAAATACGAGATTGACAAAAAATATTCAGATTGCATTGAATGGCCAGGTTACAGATTTAGTTTAGGAGCACACACACACACACACACACACGCACGCCACATTATTCTCGACAATCGAATGTTGCCTGCCGGCAGTCAACAGCAGCAAATAATAGACCATTCTCACATACACAAACCTGATACGACTGAGAGTTTCGTACTGAATAGGGTGCTTTAGAACGATCAAAAAAATGTAACTTTTCCAAATAAATATGTTCATTTTGTATACGAACCTAAGAGATAAAAGAAATTTTAAATAAAAGATTAATTGTTAAATTGTTTCCCATTGTACTCACAGAATGTCCTTTTAACACAATATTATTTGCTACAAAATCAATTGTTTGTTGAGCGATCATATCAATATCATTGTTCGATGATAATGTTAAACGACCTTCAGTAGCTGATAAACTACAAAATCGAATTAAAATTAGAATAAATCATTTTTTTGAATCCTGTTTAATGTCTTTTCTAATTAGAATATTGCAAAATTTAGATAAAAGACACCTCGTCTAACAGCAAATTTTTTATTCTCACACGTATTATACATGCCCAGTAGTATATAGGTTCGTAGCCATCATTTATGGCATTACATCTTCAATGAGAAGCCTGCTGATATATTTGATCTATCCATGCATCTTAATCGGAAACTGACTTCGACACACTATTATGAGTCTCTTACTGTTCATTATCATACTTTCTATTAGTCAAAATGTTATATACCTCAAGTTTTGACGAGAATTAATTGAACTTGTATAAAGATGAGGTAGATCGACTCGGTGTGTTTCTAAAATAAAAACTTGGTTATTTTTTTTTTGTTATTTTTATGTATTCTTCTAAACTAACCAGAAATGATTGACATATCGTTAGTGAATACTCGAATTTCTGATGAATCTACTGCAATTAATTGTTGTCCCGAACGATCATTTATTTGAAATTGTTCACAATTTGCATTGATACCAGATTTATCTACATAAATAAAAGATAAAATCTTTGTTAAATGTGTCTAAGAATTAATCTGAACACCAACCTATGACTAATTTTGAATAATGACCATTAGTACCGCTCTGAATACTAACACTATTTTCAGATTGAATGTTTAACGTCTATGTTGTGTAGTAAATAAAACATTTATAATGATCATAATTATTGTACATGGTTTACATACTTTATCTCCACTTCTTATTTCATCGGTATAAAGAGTGTTTTTGAATACAGTAGGTCCATTAAAAACAATATGATTCTTATGAAGTGACATTATTCCAACACCACCCTAAAAAAGTAAATTATTGAGTTCTATTCTTGTCTTTTTTCTGTTAAGTTTTCACTTACCCAATGTAAACCAAGTACCAGTGTTAACCAAAGTGTCAAACATAAATTAATACATACTATAATGGTTAATAATACAAGAAGACAATATAGACAACGTTTTCGCCATCCATAAACACCGACGTTCAATTTTGGTGGACGTTGAATACCACCAAGATTTCGTTGTTGGTTCATGCTAGAAGGATAAAAAAATAAAAAATTATTATTTCAATCATTTTCATTACGTTCACTAACCGTCGATGTTGTTGTTCATCACTGTTGTTATCTAACATCTTCAATCATTGTTTTTAATCCGAAAAACAACAATTTACTTATAACAGATAAGTATTGCAACATCTAAAATTCGAAGAAAAATTATACCGCATCGTAAGAGCACGAATATTAAAAATATGACGACTACAATTTAATTGAAATTTCATCTCTGACTACTAACGTAAGTGAAAGAAACACGTTGATTCAATACAACTAAATGCTCAAAAATTGAACAGATCAAAATTGTTAGTCTGTTTGAAAATATTCACACAATTGTATCTATGATGGCAATAACAATAGAAATCAAATTTAGGCTTATACACACTATACTGACCGATAGATTAGTGTAATGTTTGATCTCAGACACCTTAAAAAATTACTGATTACCATCCATTTTCTGGTTATAAATTGTTAAATGTAAACCATGAAATGAATGATAAAAATCATAATGATACATTCATAAATCAAAACCAAAAAGAAAAGAAATAAATCAAATTATGTGGATTTTTTGTTCGATATGTAAAAAACTTTTCGCCTTCATTGAAGACTTCAAAAACAAATCTTCATATATAAAGGCATGTTATACAGTGACTTTTGAGTACATTATATAAAAATCAAATGAATAAAGAGTTTTTCTACTAAGATCGGTAATCGATTATGTTAGAATGGTGAATAATGAATGATTTTAATAATCAAATCTGGTTTTTGAAAATAAAAGTTCTACAGGATAGTTTTCATGAAGTAAATATCATGCCACTTTAATAAGTTAAATCGGAAGTATAAAATGCATAGTACGTCCTTTTTATTTAAAAAAGAAAAAGGTTTGCACCAAAACTTCGACACACAAAATACATAACAAAACAAAGAACCATCATTAAATATGTATACTAGACGTTGGCGACAGAAGAAAAAGTGAATATACAAAAGAATAAGAATATGGAAACGCCATCACAGAAGAAACAAAATAAAAACGTTTAAAAGTCGCAGTTTAGTAGTCGAAAAAGAAAGGCACAGGGTTTTCTGAAGAAACTGCATAAATGAGAAATAAATTATTTAACTAACTTGATACTGTGTGTTTATACAACAAAACATGAAAAATAATCCCTGCTTGTGTTACAACTTTATCTTCATTATAATACATATATAAAAAAATGATATGTACAATCGGAAACGAGAGAAAGAGAGAAAGACACACAATACGAGTAAAGTATTTCATCTAAAGTGAGAGCTCTTCATTCTCCTTTTCTATGAACAAGTCTTCTACTATCCGTCATGCAAAATGAGTTCAAAGAATAAATAATTAAAAACAAGTGAAACATGTGAGTACAAAGGAGTAGTATCTGAATAGGCCAAAAAGTTGCGTATGCATATTGTTGCCATTTTGTTCACATAAAAAAAAAAATATTGAAACAATACCAAAAATGAAAACATTACTGTTTAAATAGACATATTGAATCTCTCATGCATATATACATCGATGAGAAAATCGTTGGGTTTTTTGTCACATAGATCTTAAAAAATATGAAATATGTATACAAAAACAAAATATACATCTGAAAGATGACTAGATAGTATGCGCACGCTCAAACAAACACATACACAGATAAAGCGTTTTATCGGGATGTAGTTGTTGAGTGTGTTTCATTTAAAACAATATATCCTTGATTTTGTAAACAATGTAATCGACGTTCAACAGCTTCTCGATACGCTCGTAATATCGATTTATCAAAATCACTTGATGCCTGTTGACATAAACTATGAAATAGCACTTGAGCTTCTGTATATGGTCCAATACACTAAAAACAAAAAAAAAAGACATAAAATTAGATGAAAAGATGAGTAGTCATTTATTTATTTACATCTTGTGGTTTTCCAAAAAATTCCAATCCAGCCGCAGTTAAACATAAGTCAATTGCATGTAAATAAAGTAATTTATCAGCTGTTAGTGTAACACCTTTGAGGTCATTTCGCGTTTGTAGTTCTTCTTGTCCACTTAATTCTTTACACATAATGAGACAATGTTTAAATTTGTTATTTAAATCACGTACAGCTTGTCTGACAGTAATAGATGGATATAATTTTCCTGATTTTACTTTATCTCTAAAACATAAATTTTATACATATGATATTACAAGTATTTTTGTTTATTTTCTCATCAAACTATACCTTGCTAAACACATTGCTGAACTTAGAAAATGCATGGCTTTAACATAGAGTGTTAATTGTTCAGCACGTTTATATAAATCATCGACAATACTTAAACGATCCATTTTTGGCCGATTTAAAGGGGTTTTATTATTATTATCAATATTATTCTTATTATTATATGTCAATGTTTCGGTTAGCAAACTCGATCGTGAACTAGCTAATGTTAATATATAATCAACCAATTGAAGAATAAATTGCAATTTGCCCAGTGTATCGTTGTGTTCATTCTATTTTTAACAAAAAAAAAAGTATATTTGAATGCTAATAGTAGTACTGTTACTTCAACATACATCCATTAGTGCATCGTCTGTGATCTGTTGTGGTTCATAATAGTTGCCCTCAGGCGCTGAGTCGCCGAAAATTGTATTCACTGTTTGTCGTTGATACTGGTATAGAGCACCATTATTGTTAGTATTTTCGTGACTGTTCGCACCTTGATCTAAGTTTGTGTTGAAAAATACAGGTGTGGTATTTTCTTGTTCAAAAAGTCGATCAGAACGATCTAAAAGAAATAACATATAAAGTGTAAAATTATTTTATCAACAACACGAAAGTTTCTTACTATCAAAGTCGTTTGTCAGAGTGCCGACAGTATGAAATTTTTGATATGATAAATGATTTTTTAATGGTGATGCGTCTATTGTTGTTATCGTAGCGTTAATCTTCTGGTTCTGTTGATGAGAATTATTTGTTTGAGAACTTTGAATCGCACGTGATGATGGTGAAGTAGCTATAGCTATAAATATAAGAGTATATTTTAGATGTTGAAGGCTTTGATTGAAGGATGTTACGCTTACTTTGACGACGAAATGCATTCGATGGAAAATTAATTGGACTTGATGATGCATCAACAGTAAATCGTACAGCCGGTGGACTAATAGAATTTGCTAAATCTGAACTTGACGATGCAATACTCGCTTGACGCAATCGTTCAATTGATGTGGGACGTTCTAAAACAACAAAAAATTGAATTTGTATCATCTATACAACTTGTTAAAATTAAATATTACTAATGGAAATGACTGTAGCACAAATTATACCTCCGTATGGGCTTCCAGCAGGACTTGTGCCGGTGCCACCAACACTTTTTGCACGTTCTCGAGATTCTTCCTGCATTTTTTCATAATTTTCAATTTGTGATGGAACAGGAATCGGTTGACTTGCACTATAACTCCGACTATCTCCTGGTACGACTTTATCATCTTGATTATTTTCAATAGCAGCTAAAGCAAGATTATCCGGACGAGTTGGCTCTTTTGAACATCTAATAGATGTAAAAAGCATAAGACTAAATATATATTTCTATAAAAGTACTTACAGAACACCTTCGGATGATGTCCGCTGTTGTTTTGAAATGTGTTTTTCACGCAATAATTGAGCAAATGATGTATGATTAGCTATAAAATGTAATAAAGAAACAATCAAATAATGCTGAAAATACGTCGATCGGTACAAACCTGTTAAACTTTTTTCTATAGCAACATGTTCAGGTATTAAAACAAATTCTTCAGTTTTTACAGTTGGATATAACACAGGTGTTGTTGCCGATGGTGATGTACGTTTGTTGTATTCATTGTAGAAAGGATTTAACGATCGTTTCACAAGTGACTTTTGAGAATTTGCTGGTGTTATACCTATTGATGTTGGTGATGATGATCGTTGTGAACTCGATGATGGAGATATCGGTGCTTGTTGTGTGGTGGTAATCGTTTCATACTCTGGAATTGGATCAATTTGACGTGAAAATGGTTGGGAAACTATCGTATCCTAGAAAACAGATAAAAGTTGTTGATTTTTAAAATATGAGAGAAAAAAAAAAGCGAAAAAAGCACACATATTTACAAGATCATGTGCTCCGGTTGTTATTCCCTCTCTTAAGGGCGATGATGAAATAATACTGACTCCTGGTGGTGTCGATGTCGTTTGTCGACTTTGTGGCATATCCACTGGTTGACCTAATTAACAACAAGAGAACAAAAAAGAATAAACTCATACATGAGAACATTCATTCTGTACTTTTGCGAATAAATGGATGATGAAAAAATTCATCATAAGCGATACGCTCTCTTGGATTACGTTTCAACATTCGTAGTAATAAACTTGTCAGTTCTGGAGATGTTGTTGGTGGAATACTAAAATGAGTATAAAAAAAAAGAGAGCAGTCAAAGACTAAAACAAGTTCACAATGATATTTACGTTGGTGCTAAATGCATATTTCTCTCGTAGAATTGTTTTAATGCCTGTGGTGTTTGGGCTTGAAATGGCGCTTTCCCTGTTAAACATTGATAGATAATTGTGCCAACAGACCTAAATGTGAATAGATACTCGTTAAACTAACAGTAAAATGTTTTCCATTCTTCATCTACCATAAATCAGCTTTTGCATCATATTGCAATGAACGTATTACTTCCGGAGCCTAAAAAACGAATAAAAAGTGAATGATAAATTAAACAATGAATATATTTATTTACCATATACATTGGAGAGCCACACAATGTTCCAGCCATAACACCTTCTTGTAAAAATCGTGCAAAACCAAAATCAGCTATTTTTAACGTTATTTCATTTATTTGTGGATTCTCTTTATTCTTATAACAAAGTAAAATATTTTGTGGTTTTAAATCACGATGTACCTGACAAGAAAAAAAAATCAAAATTATAGTATTTACTTCTATGTTGATAACAACGACTAGTACACTTACCACATTGTTTTCATGACAAGCTCGAATAGCAGCAGCTAAATGACCATTAAAATAATTAAAAACATTTAATTATAGTAAAAAATTAAGAAATATACATACCGATTTGACGAAAAAATATTCTGATTGTATCTTCACTAAGTGTGCCTTTTTGTTGTAAATATTCAGCTAAATCACCTCCATTGCAGTACTATAAAAATTTGTACATTAAACCATTATATACCTAGTCATCTTTGCTCAACTTACTTCCATAACCAAATAGACATTATGTTGAGATTCCTGAAATGATAAAGACAATAAAAATGTTTACTACTACAATTATATTATCGATTAGATCTAATCTTTTATCAGATTATTTCACAACTAATTACGTATAAAACTATACCGAGAAACTTCTCAAATGTATAACGATAAAAAATTCATACTTTGCAATCAAATAATGCCACTAAATTTTCATGTTTTAATTTTGTAAGTTCCTTGAATAATAAAAAACAAAAAAAAATGTTAATTAATTTAATTGAACAAAAGATGTATATACGTATATACTTATATTTAGTAATTTTACAACCGCTATTTCTATTACTAGAGACTCAGACAGAATTAATTTCTGAAAGAATCAAAAGAAGATACCACGACCAGTCTCGACCTTTCTCAAGGGTCTCGTCAGGTGGTTTCCTTCGAGAGACAGAGTTAAGGCACGACAAGC